CGCACACAGCGCACAGTGGGCACACAGAGCGCGCACACAGAGCGCGCACACAGCGCGCACACAGCGCGCACACAGCGCGCACACAGCGCGCACAGCGGGCACACAGCACACAGCGGGCACACAGCACAGAGCGCGCACACAGCGCAGAGCGCGCACACAGCGCAGAGCGCGCACACAGCGCAGAGCGCGCACACAGCGGGCACACAGCTCACACAGCGGGCACACAGCACAGAGCGCGCACACAGCGCAGAGCGGCGCGCACCTTCAAAAGATCACGGACCGCGGCACCTGCTCCAGTCTGAAACTGGGACAACGCTCAGACAGCTGAGTGCTACATTCACAAATATATATACACCAACTGACACAAAATATCAGATTTACTTTTAACTGGTATCACTAATTTAAATAATTTTGAGCAATAGAGTGATTGGGATGTTTTCTTCAGGTATCCAGGCCATTAAGGAACCATCAGACTGATATTCAAATAACGTTTTTACTTTTATTTTTCTTTGTTTGCCAGTATACATCTCTACAAGCAAATCCAACTTGTTTCTCACACATGCTCACCCCAACTTAGGGATATTTTATTACAAAGACTACTTGGTGTAGTTAAAAGCAAAAAATCTGTTTTGCATTATTATTATTATTTTCTATTTTTACCACATCTTCCCTCACTGCTTAACCAGGGGTCTCCTTAAGGGTAATATTTATACAAGATTTACTCTGAAAATTATGCTCTCAACATAATCACTGCCTCCAGCTATGAACGAGGACCCCAGGCATCCTAACCATAAGCACTGATCTCTTCTTGCTCACCAGTTCCTCTCCTCCCCCCCAGTCCTCTGCAGAACAGTAAGATTACCACTGACAATTCACTCCAGTCTACTCAGGGCAGATTTCTATATTGCACAGCACACACAGGCTATGATTTACACTCATTTAAATATAGTGAAATTATATTTTTAAGAACTTGGGTGAAGTGATAGAAATATTCTGTCATAGACATTAATGAATACTTGGTAATGGTTCAGGATAAAAAAAGAAATTAAGACACTTAAAGCCACATAGGTAAATACTTAATCTCAATTAGGCACCCATAAGACTGTGCCCTATGAAAACATTAATGTTCCAGGCACATTAGTTCATACTTACATACATTAGAGTACCTGCCAAATAGCTGCTATTTGAAAGGAATGAAAGGTACAGAATTCCCCCCCCACCCCCGTGCACATGGAGAAAACCTCTGGAGAATCACGGAATGACTGAGGTTGGCAAGGACCTCCAGAGGTCACCTGGTCCACTCCCTGCTCAGACAGGGACACCTAGAGCTGGCTGCCCAGGAATCTTTTGTGTACCTCCAAGCTTGGAGACTCCAAAACTTCCCTGGACATCCTCTGACTTCATTTTCAGTAAGACAAGCTGCCCCCTAGAGTACTTCTGTTTTAAGGCAGTCAAATTTTCATTTGACATTTACTTTCCCTTGGACAAATAATGCTGTGATCCTGATTAAGTTGGAGGAGTGAAAAAAAAAAAAGTCACAAAATACACAAAATGTAATTAAGCTTGACATTATAAAATTAAGTGGACAATTGAA